AAGGGCTCTGGAGGCCAGGCATAGTGGCTCACGCCTGAAATTCCAGCACTTTGGGAGGCCAAGGCGGGTGGATCATGAGGTCAGGAGATCAAGACCATCCTGGCTAGCATGGTGAAACCCCATCTCTACTAAAAATACAAAAAATTAGCCGGGTGTGGTGGTGGGCGCCTGTAGTCCCAACTACTCGGGAGGCTGAGATAGGAGAATGGCATGAACCTGGGAGGCGGCAGTGAGCCGAGATCACGCCACTGCACTCCAGCCTGGGTGACAGAGTGAGACTCTGTCTCAAAAACAAAAACAAAAACAAAAACAAAAATGCTCTGGAGGCCTGGAACAGAAAAGAAATTAGCTGAGATCCAGCATCAGGTCGGGAATAAGATAACCAGTTTAGGACTGGATTATGATTTCAAGCAGGACAAACTAAGTGAGGAAAAATATCCTGTGGCAAAACAACAGGGGTCAGAGATGAAGGAGAGCACTGGGTGAGAAGAAGCCCCATGGGGGAAGTGAGGCAAGCCCAGAATGATGATGCGTCATCATGTCTGTGCCTTGCCCATGTCTCTGGTGGGTGACAGCGGGCACAATTGGAGATGCTAAGGAACAGAGGACAATTGGTTTAGTGTCATCTACTACATCAAGTCTAAACTTCTTAGTAGAAGTTTCATATTTATTTATTTATTTTGAGACAGAGTTTCCCTCTTATTGCCCAGGCTGGAGTGCAGTGGCACAATCTCGGCTCACTGAAACCTCTGCTTCCTGGGTTCAAGTGATTCTCCTTGAACCAAGTAGCTGGGATTATAGGTGCCCACCACCATGCCCAGCTAATTTTTTTTTTTAAATTTTTAGTAGAGACGGGGTTTCATCATGTTGGCCAGGCTTGTCTCGAACTCCTGACCTCAGGTGATCTGCCCACCTTGGCCTCCGAAAGTGCTGGGATTACAGGCATGAGCCACTGCGCCTGGCTGAATAGAACCTTCAAGACCTGAATTGGCTCATGCTTCTTCAGTTTCACCTTCTCACTCCCCAGCTCAAATCAGTACTACAGGTATTTCCCTGAATTCAGTGTGTCTCTTGTGCTTTTATGTACACATGCAATTCCCTCTGCCTAGAATGGCATGTCCATTGGTGTCTGCTCAATAAAGACTAACTCATTCTTCTAGATTTAACTCTAGCTTCCGCAATTGCTCCAGGTGCAATTTATAATTCTGATGTCTTTTTTAATGCCACTTGTGACACCTTCATACTTCATTAGGTCAGCTGCCACATTGCGTAATTGTTTACTTGCCTGTCTGAAATGAACTGTAAGCTCCATAAGGATAGAGAATATATTTTACTCAATATTTTACACCCCAGCACCTAATACAGTGGCTAGCACGTATTAGGTGCACTGTAAACACTTGTTGGATGAATGAGTGAGTGAACGGACTCACAAGCACAGGGAAAATTACAAAGCTGTGTGAAAAGGGCCATGCTAATAGGTTGGAAGGAAGAAATGCCAGTTCCTACCATAAGGAAGAAATGCCCATTTTCAGGCAGCCATATCCCACTTTTCGCCTCCTGCAATATGCAATTCAAAATAAAAACACTAATAAATAGTAAACACTAGTAAATAGTAAATAAAAATTTATTTTTGAAACAACAAATCTTGACCATGTGAATGAAGTCAGAATAAACTCTTTCTCTTTGGGAAGAGGGTGGTGCCTCTGCTTTGTGGGCACCTATATCAGCCAGGGTGCTGGCACACTCAATAATTTAGGTGAAGAGAAGTTAATGACTATTTGCAGAGATGAAACTAGCCATGGGTGAGGAGGCATCTAAAGACTAGCAATAGCACTGGGCATGGTGGCTCATGTCTGTAATCCCAGTACTTTGGGAGGCTGAGGCGGGTGGATCACCTGAGGTCAGGAGTTCGAGACCAGCCTGACCAACATGGTGAAACCCCATCTCTACTAAAAATACAAAATTAGCCGGGCGTGGTGGCACACGCCTGTAATCCCAGCTACTTGGGAAGCTGAGGCAGGAGAATCGCTTGAACCCAGGAGGCAGAGGTTGCAGTGAGCATAGATCACACCACTGCACGGCAGCCTGGGTGACAGAGCGAGACCCTGTCTCAAAAAAAAAAAAAAAAAAAAGACTAGCAACAGCAGGAAACTGTTGCCACCCCTGGCCTGAAGGTATAGGGAGGGAGCCTGGGGCTGTAGCCATGGAGAAGCAAGGCCACAGCCAGAATCTCAGTCTGGTCCATCAGGACTCATCCATGCTCTCCTCTCCTGCCTCTGAATTTCACTGGCTGAACCCAACCAGAAGCCAGGGCCCTGGTGATCCCTGCAGATAGAGTCCATAGAGCTCAGGCTCCCAGAACAGGGTAGGGAAGAGCCGAGAATGAATCTAGGTGGTGGCAGGGCAAATGGAGAAAAACTGGCATTGAGGGTAGATGCCTCCGCTTTGTAGGCGACCTGTGAGTATGATTAGTTTGCCTACTGGGTAATCAAGCACTGAGTGGAACCCTGTAGATGGGAGTTCTGAGTCTCATGTTTTGTATTGTTAGGTATTTGTGTGTGCAAGCTTCTTAAAACTTGTGCCACTAATTGGTAGGTCTTGGGTGGGGCAAGGGCATCTAAGTTTTTAAAAGCTTCCCAAGTGATTTGTACCTCTTGGGTAGGTACCTCTTGTTAGGAACCACAGATATAATCCACCTTCTCATTTTTATAGAGAGGCAAACTAACGTCTAGAGAAATGAAAAATGCCCTGACTTGGCAATTTCTGTTTGAGAACTATCCCTCAGGTGATGTTAGAGGGTTTGGCTAGAAAACTGGAATATTTGCACCTTCTACTAGCCCATTTCCTCCATTTTATTCATGAAAAAAACTGAAGCTCCAAAAATGGAATGATGTGCTCAATTATACAACCACAGTAGTGAGTCACGGAGAAGGAAGCACTAGGGCTAAGAATGGCATTTCTAACTCTCAAGCCAGTGTTCTCGCTAGGCAGCACACTTTGTAGAAGTGTGTGTGTGTGTGTGTGTGTGTGTGTATGTGTGTATGACAAAGCCCTGGGGCAGCAGTTCTAGTCCTTCATTATGGTAAGGTGCTCTCCCTGAAGCCCCTAACTGGAAAGAAAGCGGAGCAGGCAGAGGTCATTGACTCTTAGAACTCTATGCTGGAGGGGACTGGAGGGGATGGGGGGAAGATCTGGGTGACCCCTGTTCCAAGCCTTGACTATCACTCTTGTTGTACTGGGCTCTGAAGCTCTGGTTGCTAATTCCGTCACCAGAAGAGGACTATCACCCCTCTGAATGGGTGTTGGGACTTTAGGGAAAACTGGGTAGGATCCAGAAGACAAAGGAAGAGACCCATTGTGGGAGGGGCCTACAGGAGACTTCAGCCTGTGGGTCTCTGCCCAAACATCACAAGGCTCAGGACCAGCACAAGGGCCTGTGTCACCATGCAAGGATGTTTGAAACTCCTTTATGGCTGCTAATTAGGGCTGGTCACCCCTTTCCCATCAATTCCCAAAGCCTGACACACAGCTACTGCCCTTCTACAGCAGATTACAGACCACTTGTCCATCCTTTGAGATATAGCTGAAATCTCCATCTCCAGGATTGCTAGACTTAAATTTCCTAAAACCAGCAGGCCTTCCTCTTCCCCATCCTATACATGTCAGCATTGGGTGGAACCTTAGAACTCACCCGCTCATCTTCTAAGCGAGGAAATCAAGACCAGAGAGGGGAAGTGATTCACCCAATCTAACAGCATGGAAGTGGCAAAACTGGGACTAGATTTCAGTCCATCTGGCCACCTACCTCTCCATACATGTAATTCCAATGATTCTGAACATGCACGGCTCAGAATGAGCTTGTGTTCGTTTAGTCTACGTAAAATCAACATTAAATCAACTTGGGACGTATTTTTGGCAAAGTTGGCTCACGCTTCTTTGGGTCCTTAAGTATACTCAGGTCTACTTGTCTGTCATTCTTGGGGTGCTCTTGTATGTGTGGCAGTTGTCTCTGAGTTGTAAGAGGTGTGTGCCTAAGGGCAATTATCTGTGTTTGTTTCTATATTGGGGTCATGGGTCTACGAGCTGCTGTAGAGCCCCTGTATATATGTCTCTATTCTTTTTTTTTTTTTTTTTTTTTTTTTTTGAGACGGAGTCTCAAGCTGTTGCCCAGGCTGGAGTGCAGTGGCGCGATCTCGGCTCACTGCAAGCTCCGCCTCCCGGGTTCCCGCCATTCTCCTGCCTCAGCCTCCTGAGTAGCTGGGACTACAGGCGCCCGCCACCGCGCCCAGCTAATTTTTTGTATTTTTAGTAGAGACGGGGTTTCACTGTGGTCTCGATCTCCTGACCTTGTGATCCGCCCGCCTCGGCCTCCCAAAGTGCTGGGATTACAGGCTTGAGCCACCGCGCCCGGCCTTATGTCTCTATTCTTACTTGGAGAATATATGCCAATTTGTGGTTATTGGTTTTGGATCTGTGTACTTGTTGAGTGCTTAAGGGTAAATATGATTCTGTATGTGTGATGTATATGCTACGATTATGGGTCCATGGCTGCTGCATACCTATATACGTGCCGCTTTTCAAGTCGAATGTTTTGTGTTCACTGATGATTTGGATGTGTGTTTGTATACAGTGAAGGTTGTGGGTCCAGTTGCAATTGTATCGGCGTGGACTGCATGTTTAAAGGCTTAAGGGAATCTGTCTTTGCCTTTTGCTCCTGGGTTATGAGAAAATGCATGTGGCTGTGCGTCCAGGACAGCAATGTGTTTGTCTCTGAGCCAAGCTCAGTCCTCACCCAGGCACTGGGATCACGGTCACGTTCACGTTCCGTGGACGCCTTGGCACGGCCTCCCAAGGGGGCGGGGCCTGGGGGGTCCCCGCCTTCTGACCCCTGGGAGATGCTTCGTTTCTCCGAGCAGCAGCCGGAGGCCTGGCCGGCGCCTCCAGCCGGGCCCCGCCCCCCGGGCTCCCGCCCGCTCATTGGCCCTGGCCGCGGTGACGTCACGGGGCTAGCTGACAGAACCCGGGCGCCTGGCGCTCGGGAGGTATTGTCCGTCCCTCCGCGCTTTGGAAAGTCGTCGCCGGCTCACCTGGCCGTGGGCGCGTCCTGGCCGCTGCAGCCGGGAGCGGGGTGCCAGCCGCCGCCGCCGCCCCCGCCATGGTGTCCCCGGTCACTGTGGTGAGTGAGCGAGCGAGCGAGCCAGTGCCCGGCGCGGCTGGAGCCCACCGGCCTGGCCACCGGACTTCGGCAGGCCGAGCTGCTAGGGGCCGAGGCGGGGCGGGGGTCCCGCGGCGGCCGGCGTTCCCCGGCGGGAGGCGGGCGCTGTCACGGTCCCCCGCTCCTCAGACTCGCGGCGCCCCTCCTCGCTCGCCCCCAGCCCGCCCGCGGGAGGGAGGAAAACACTGGCCACGTGACTCGGAAGCGTGACTTTGTTGATCTCCACGTATTTGGCGCCGGTCGGCGGGGTCGGGGCCCGGGAGAGGGAGTGGACCGCTGGCGGCCGCCGGGTTCTGCGTAGGCGGACCACGGGGAGGCGTGGGGGCGGGGAGTGCTGGGAGGATGACAGGGACCTCCTGGGAATGCCGTCCCAAGTTTGTTTCCTAACCTTCCCCATTTTGTAAACAAGTTGGCGGACGCCCATGAGTCTAAGGAGCGCTGATAACGCGCTGGAGGAAAAGGGGGCATTCTCTCTGACATCCCCTGCTTTTCAGACTTTATCAGCTCGAGCCTTTTGTCTCATCTCCCCATCCTCCTTATTCTACTATTGGCTTCCCTATAACTGTAAGAGTCTCCCCAGCTACTGCTGGTATCTCCTTCTAGAAAATATGGGGCTGGGAGAGGCCATGGAGCGGAGGTTAATGCTCCCAGGGGCTGGCAGGTGGTTGTTGGGCATTGTGGGCCTGGGCATCCCCTCCAGCCTCCTCCTCTGACCATGCCCCTACCCTGACCATGCCCCTACCCTGACCAGCCTTAATTTCCATGGGAAGCGGAAGTCATCTCTTCTCACTGCTCTTACCTCTGGCAGAACAAGGAAAGGCTTGGAACCTGGACCCACCCATCTGCCTCTTCCCAATCCTCATCATCACAGTCTGATTAGTCCTTAAGTACCTGCTGGTCTGGGAGTCTGAGTGTTTCCCAAGTCCTGTGTTGGACAGCTCACTTAGCCAGAGACACAATCACTTTAGGCAGAGTGTGGGTGTACAGGGAACCCTAGCTGCTCCATATCACCCTCAAGGAATCTGTTAGCAGCCCAAGGAAGGGAGTTTCAAGGATCACAGATTCAGAATATTGCTGCAGCCCCCACCCCCAGCTTGGACTCTGCCTGCAGTGGCCTTGGGGACAACCTTTCTTTAGCTGCCCTCTGCTAATCCGGCTGAGACCAAGTCAGCTGCTCTAACTTCCCCCTCTCAGTTCCCCATCTCCCAGCCTGTCTGCTGGCTCCAGATCAGAAGCTGGGAAGAGAACCCCTCCCCCGCTTCCTGCCTCTTTCTGGTGTGGCTTGAGTTGTTCTTGTTCTCTGGGAAATGAGACTGACTGACACACACCCTCCCTTCCCCCAATCCTTGAAATATTTGGTGTTTGAGGGACAATTTTCTTGCTCCCAACTCATGGGTCCATTTGTCTAGCCAGCATCCCTAGCATAGCTCTCCTTGCCCTTGATGCCACCTTCAGGCTGGGGCAGGTGGAGTGGAGGCTGAGGAACAGATTGATTGAGGAGAGAGAGGCTGTGGTGGCTGAGGTGGTTGGCATTGCCTGCCTTCCCACATTCCTGGCACACACCTGGTGTTGCCAGGGCCCTAAGGCTGCACCCTGGCCCCATGCTGAGGATCACGAGTTGGCCAGTCAGGGCGTCTCTGTGGTTTCCTACTGACTTCACTCCATTCCAGACAGCTGGGGGCTGTTGCTGGCAGAGAGGGGGGCCAAAGGGGCCCGGAGGAGGGAGAAGGAGGGGGCAGGAAGGGAGAAGCACACTAGGCTGCCGAAGGGGACATTATTCCAAAGTTTGTTTGCTGCCCAGTGAGTGACTATTCCGGCCCAGCCCCAGGGCCAAGAGTGGAGGCAGACAGCAAGGACAGTGGAGCCCTTCCCCCTCCTAGTATACTGAGCCTCAGGGCAGTGATGGGTTTGGCCACAACCTGCTGGTTGGTACAGGCAGGTCAGGCAGGGTTTCTCTGTGTCAGTCTTCTCAGGTTGGGGTGGAAGTGAGGTGGGGGTATGGGTGGGAGTGTCTCTGGGTGGATGCCTAGGCTGAGGATGCTGGCTTTAAGCCCCCAGGTTCTGAGTGCTGCCCTTGTCCTGTGTCCTCCAGGTGAAGAGTGAAGGACCCAAACTGGTGCCGTTCTTCAAGGCCACCTGCGTGTATTTCGTGCTCTGGCTGCCCTCATCTAGCCCGTCGTGGGTCAGCACCCTCATCAAATGCCTGCCCATCTTCTGCCTCTGGCTCTTCCTTCTGGCCCATGGCCTGGGATTCCTGCTGGCCCACCCTAGTGCCACCCGCATCTTTGTGGGGCTTGTCTTCTCTGCTGTAGGTGACGCCTTCCTCATCTGGCAGGACCAAGGATACTTCGTGCATGGTCAGTGGCCATAGTAGTTGCCTGGGAGGAGTCCTTAGGCTTGGGGATAGAGGGGTCCTGGGGCTGTGGGCAAAGATTTGGAAGAGGGAGTTCTTGAACCAGAGTATGGGGAGCCTGAGGGTTTCTGAGACCAGGGACTGTGAGGGTCCCTGTTAGGGGATGACCTCGCAGGGGAACTAGTGATCAGTTCCAGAGTCCTTCAGGGGACTGGGGTGGGGGTCTTTAACTTTAGATTTTCCTACCCCTGTTATCCCAAAGCAAAGCTGCTGGGTTATCCCAAACACTCCACTCCATCCCTACCCCCACCCTGTTACTCATTCTTCATCAAGCTTGCCCTCAGCTGCCTTCGCCCCTCTTACCCCCAGGTCTGCTGATGTTTGCTGTGACCCACATGTTCTACGCCTCGGCCTTTGGCATGCGGCCACTGGCTCTTCGGACAGGTCTGGTGATGGCAGTGCTGTCTGGTCTGTGCTATGCCCTCCTCTACCCGTGCCTCTCAGGTGCCTTCACCTACCTGGTGGGGGTCTATGTGGCCCTTATCGGCTTCATGGGCTGGCGAGCTATGGCAGGGCTGCGGCTGGCCGGGGCAGACTGGCGCTGGACAGAGTTGGCAGCTGGCAGTGGTGCACTCTTCTTTATCATCTCAGACCTGACCATCGCCCTCAACAAATTCTGTTTTCCTGTGCCCTACTCTCGGGCGCTCATCATGTCCACCTACTATGCGGCTCAAATGCTCGTCGCCCTGTCAGCTGTCGAAAGCCGGGAGCCTGTGGAACACTACAGACTGAGCAAGGCCAAATGAGGTGCCAGGGTCCGGTCACCCCTCTCTCCTCCTGGGGCTGGGGCCCAGATCCTGGGAAGCTGCAGGAGCTGGATCAGGATGGCTGCAGTGCCATCCTGGGGCAGCAGGTTCTGCCTGAGGAATTTGCAAGTTTGAGTGGGGAGGCTGGAAAAGGATCTCCCTAGCGGAACTCGTGGTCCAGGACAATGCTGAGAGCTAAAAGAGCCAGCCTAATCCCTGACTGGAGCCAGAAGTAGACATCTCCCCACCTCTACCCCATCAGGACTTTCAAAAGCCCTCCTGGAAGGTGATGGTGCTCAGCTTCTTGACACACCCCCTTCCCCTACCAGGTGGAAGAGTCTGACTCCATGTGTTATGCCTAGGACCAATGGCAGTGGTTCGTCCACTCCTCCCCTTTTTCATCTGCACAGAGTTGAGGGAAATGGGAGAATCTGTGCTGAGAAGACTTAGACCCAGGAGCCCCTTTCACAGGCCCCTAGTTGGGAAGACTGGATGAGAGTGGAGCCTCCCTTTTCCCTCTTCTATCCTTGTTACTTGAACAATCTCAATCTCTAAGTGGTGGGTGGGGATATGAAGAGGTGTGGATCCAGGCTAGGCAGGAGAGAGAACTTTTTTGGTCTCGGAGCTTGGGGTCTCAAGAATTCAAGTGGCCCCATCTCTCTCTCAGGCAAGCCCAAAGCTCAGGTCCCATATACCACCCTTAGATCCTGTCCCCAGGGCTAGGGTGAACCATGCCAAAGGAGGGGGCCAGCTTCTGTGTGTGTGTGTGTGTGTGTGTGTGTGTGTGTGTGTGTGTGTGTGTAGCCTGTCTCCTAGTCTGCCTATGTCTTTCTCTGCTATATGTTTCTGTCCTGCTGTCTGTCTGTCAAAAGTCTCACAGAGAGAGGGCCTCAGGGAGCTGCTGAGGGGTGCTGAGCCTGGCTCAGGGAGCTGGGACCTCTCCCCTCCAACACACATACTCACAGGGCTTTCCTCCTTGCCCCTCCTACACTAGGAGCAAGAGGAGGGGGCTGCAATGACACTCTGGGGTTTTAAGACCCAAGGCACATTCAATGCAAGGGGAGCAAGGATGGGACAACTCCATCTTCTGCTGCCCATGTGAAAAAAAATAAAAATCAAGAGCCATTGGCTGCTCTGCTTGTGGGCCTGTGTGGCACATGCCTATCTTGGAGAGGGCATCGGGGCATGGTGCCAGGGGCTCTGGCTGTCCTCACAGCCTAGTCACAGTCCTGGGCAGTGCATCTTGGTGCCAGGCTGGCTCCTTGGCTCTGGTGACACTGTGCTGGTTGGAGTGTGTCTCACTTCCCTGGTGTAGGTGAGGATGTGGTTTAGGAGGATGGGGGATGGGTGGTATTTGTCACTGTCCAAATTTGTCCTTGTTGTACTCCCCTGTGCACAGGTGCCCAGCACCCTTGGTGACCTTTAGTTATCCAGTGTCACCTATTGCTGCCCACCTCCTCCCCTCCCGACTCGAGACCTGCTGCTTCCTTCAAAATGATCCAGATTCCCTTCAAGCATCTCCCTCATCTTGGACTCTGGGCTTAGTTGAATAGCTGGGAGCAATGGGATTAGATTGACTGATTCATTCATTAGATGTAAAGCCCTGGCAGAATAATGTGTCACTCTGCTCCAGGAGCATTTGCAACTTAACAGGCAATGCCCTAACCCAGAAGTGGAAAGGGAAGCCTTCGGTGGTGGTGGATATGCCATCAGTAGAGGTGTTGCACATTTGTGGGAATGTGATTTAGGAGACTCAAGTGTCATGGGTGGTTGGATGAATCAGTGATTTCCAAATTAGTTTTTACAGAGATTCCTGGTAAGGGGTTAGTGAAGGAATAATGAGAGAAGGCAGGCTCAAAGACCCCCTATCCTTATTTCAAGTCCAGTAGCTTCTTAGGTTGCGTTTTTTTGTTTTGTTTTGTTGTGGAAGGAGTCCACTGAAAAACGTAAGTTTGAAACTTAGTGAGCTGGATGATCAATCCTTTCTAGCTCTGAACCCTGGACACTAAAGAGGGAAGATCTTGATCCTTTCAAACTTCAGAACTCTGAACACAGACCTACCTAGTGTGAAGAAATGGGAGAGAGCAGGATGGGGAGAAGGATGAAGTCAGCAGGACTTGCCTCCAAGCTCTGAGGGGAGGGATAAGGTGCCATGTGGATGTGGAGGAGGGGAAGGGAAGTCTAGGCCCAGTCACAGGAAGGCTGGTCACTGCCTTGTGGGTGGGTTTGGACTAGGCTTTCAGGGGTCCAGGTCTGGGATTCCCCATCATGCAATCACATCCATCCCCTTGGTCCCTGCTGTATACCACCCTCAGGAACAGGAAAGGATGAATTTAGTTTATTGCCCCATCCCTTCACTGAATGTTTACATTGACAAACACCAGAGAGCAAACTGGGCTTCCTACACCAGGCCATGCAGAGGACCGGCCAAGAAGCTCCACATCGTAACAGCCTCCTGATGCCTGGACTGGGCTGGAGCTCACATAAGGTGCTTTGATTTCTTCTGCAGACTCTCGGTGATGGATGCTACAATTGACTTATCATCTTTGTCTGAAAGAGCAAAGCAAGTATTCATTATATTAATGATGCTGGGGACCAGGGAAATTCCAAACTGCTGGACTTCCTATGCAGGAAACCAGGAGCTGGACCCTGGGACCCTTAATCTTGGGTTGGCAGAGCGGAAGGGGCGAGAGCTGCCATTTATCTAGCAGTTAATATTTGCCAGACATTGTGTCAGGCAATTCTGTACTATCTCATTTAAACCTCACAGTCCTATAAAGAAGATGAGAAAACAGGCTCAATGAGGTAGCTTGCTAAGGTCACATGGCTGGTCAGTGGCAGAGCCAGGGCCCTGGGCCCACATGCTGTGCTTACAACCGGAGTTGAGTTATCAGGGATCTCTTTAGCTGTGGAATGAAAGCTGGATAGCGCCCACAGTGCCTTCCCTGGCCTAGTTCTTTTACACAGCTCAGCAGCCTCTCTGGAGATATTGTCTCAGTGCCAGACACTTAGCTAAGCACTCAAGAGACAGAGCAACATGACAAGGTCCTTTCCCCAAAGAAAGGTATCTATAACTGGACAAAAAAAGGTTTGTAACCATGGAGACCACAGCAATGGAGTGTCATGGAAGGTTCAGGAGTAGCAGAAGATGAGATGAGAGGTGGGGGAGGGGGAAACCTTGTTGGTTTGGGATTTTACCATGAAAGGAAAGCCGGGGGAAATTTAAGCAACAGCAAGGCAGGCCAGCTTTGCATTTAGAGTTCATGCTGCTAGCTGTGTGGCTATGAAGACAGTAGACTGGGAAGGAATAAAATGCTTCCCCCACGTGTGCACACATGAGTAGAAACATGGCATGCATGTACAAAAGGGAGGGTTCCCTTCGCTCCTCCCCTTGTTTGTGCCCCCCACCTGCCCTTATCCTAGACCAGTTTTAATTTTGATTGCACATCAGAATCACCCGCAAAATTTTGTAAACATAAAGGTTATTTCCAGAACCCTGCCAGAGAGATCGTGATTGGTGAGTCTGGTTGAATCCTGATCACGAGTATCTTTTTTGAAGGCAGGTCTAGGCTCACCAAGAGTTGCAAACCACATCTTATCTAGGGATTGAGAACTCTCATGTCTGCAGGGACCAGGCATATAACAAATGACATCGAAAGGATGGGAGAGTGGTAAGAACTGTGGCCAACTAAGAATGTTTGCACCACTTGTTGGTAGTCAGGTCAAAAAACGGTGCCAGCCAAAAAAAGAGCTGACCAATGGCCCACAAGACCAGCCTTTTGCGCCTCTCCCCCTCCCCGAGGCCGGACCCCGTGGCGCCCTCACCATAGACGGTGAGCATGCAACTGCTGCAGTCCTTGCCCAGCTCGTTCTCCACCAGCACGCTGTAATCGCCGCTGTCCTTGAGCGTGCAGGTGGGGATGACGAGGGTGCACACGCCGCTGGTGGAGTTGTACCAGAACTTCGAGTTGGCTGTTATGTTGACGTCGCCCTTGTAGAGGGTCACTGTGGGTCGCGGGTTCCCAAGGAAGGCGCAGGTCATGGTGCAGTCCTGGCCGCGGAGCACCGTGTGTGGCTTGAGGGGCGTCAGGAAGCGCGGGGCCTGGCGCCAGTCCTTCTTCTCGTAGGGCTTGAGCTTGGCGCTCAGGTCTTCGACTGCGCGGGCGGGGCGGGGCGGGCCGTGAGCGCGCCCCAAAGCCCCCACCCACCACCCACATCTTAGAGCTCAGCTTACACGAAACCCCGAGGACCTAGGCCAGATTCCCAGCGCCACTAACTCTGGGGGCCCAATGTTACACTGGTTCCTAAGGGCTCCCCACCAGCCCCCAGATCTCCCCCGGACCCCCCAGCCCCGTCCCCAGCCACTCCAGGGTTCTGCCACCCAAGCCATGCTTTCCCATACACCCGGGGCCAAGATGTCATTCCAGCGCCAGCTTCCTGGACCCTGTTATTCCCAGCCTTTAACTCCGCCTCCAAGCTTCCCCTACGTCATATCAGCGTCCACAGTCTCCCGTCTTATCCCTTTAGGTCCTCAGTTGGAGTTTCCTGATGCGGCCCCCACCCTTAACGCCTAGTCTCCAGGGATCCCAGCCATCCTCCTGGCTCCCTAGAGCCCTCCCCTGTTCTCTGCCCGGTTAGACCCTCCCCTCAGAGCAGAACGCAGTCTAAGTCTGCGCTCTAAGTCCCTCCGCAGCCCCTCCACCGTTGTCTCCGCCCCCAAAGGTACCTCCCCACCTCCACTTTAGTCTCATCCCTAAGTATCCCGAAGAAAGCCAACATTTCCTTCTCTCCGCAGCGTCCCAGGTATTAACCGTTCTATCTCAATGGTTTTCGGATTTTATCCTGCCTCTTGGGTACCCTTTGCGATCCTTATGTCATCCCCACCATCAGGGCACCCAGACTTACTCTGGTCTTTATTGATGAGCCAGGTGTCCTTGGAGTCAAGTGGCTCACTGTCACCGATTTCATTTCGAGCCACCACTCTGAAGTAATACTTCCTGCCTGGGAGCAGCCCGGTCACTGTGTACTTGTTGCTGAAGACACGCTCGGCTGCCGTGTACCAGGTGGCGGTGCTTGCATCCCGCTTCATGATGACATAGTGAGCCTCACTGGCCTCCTGCACATCTGGGCTGTGGTTCCAGGTCAGAGTCACTGTGTTGGGGACTTCCTCAAACAACCGTAGGTTTGTGGGGGGCCGAGGGAAATCTGGAAGAGTTGGAAGATCTGTCAGCGACCTTGGGGGACCTGAAGTATTGTGTCCCCAACCCAGCCATCTGCCAAGTCCGATGGTAGATAAGATGGGGCAAGTCTCGGGCAGCTGGTGTCTTGGAGTCGGAAAACTATTTCTGAAGTCTGCTTTGCCATTTACTAGCCTTGTGACCTGGGGTAAGTTACTTATCTGAAACTTCTTTCCTCAGTTGCAAAATAGAGCTAACAATGACTATTTCATAGAAATAGTGGGTAAAGAGCCTGGCATGTAGTTACTGTTCAGTAAAAGTGAATCCATTCCTTCCTTGGGGGTTTAGAGCTTTATTTTAAAGCTCCCAGCTCTCTTTAAGCGGTCACCCCAATTTTTAATGGATTCATCTCCATTTGTCCCTCCTGCCCCTCACTCATTTCTACTCTCTCTGCTGACCATACTCTGTATGATAAAGTTTTGCTCTGGGTTGTCAAAGAAATCTTCATGACCCTAAGGCACAACTTTCCTGTGGTAGGAACTCAAGCGGCACTGGGGAGCTGTACTTTGGAGAGTGTGCAGGGATGGGTCCTGGAGGCCTCTGCCTTCTCTCCATACCTGCTACGCGCACATGGATGTCATAGTGTGCTTCTCCAAACTCATTCTGAAGCAAGATTCGGTACACCCCTGAGTCAGAGCGCTTGGTGCTATTGATGAGGAACTGGGAGTGGTTTTTGCTCTTGGTAATTGTTTCTCGGCCCTTGGTGGGAACACCATCTTTCTGCCAGATCACGTCAGGTGGTGGTGAGCCCTGAGTAGTGACAGGAGATGGCACAATTGGTCACGCAGATATTTGGGGGCAGGCCTTCCTCCATTGTCGAGGAGTTTCCCGCCAGGCTGTCGCACTAGAGGTCTGGTGAGGGGCAGAGTCAGAGTCAGAGACTGTGATGGCTACAATAGCCATTTTGGTTATTGGAGAGTGTATGGAGGTCAGGGTCAGGGATAACTCACGGAGAAGGCTGCATGGATGCAGAGGGCTGTCCCAGCGCGAACCACCATGTGACTCTTCAGCCGGGCACTGAGGTCAAACTTGGGTGCAGCTGAGATGGAGGAGACAGAGGTGGAGGCATGGATCTCTCTTTCAAGAAGACTCTGCTTTAAGCCTCCTCATCAAAGCCTTCCCAACCTCTCCTCTTTTATGCCCCCACTACAGGCCATACGGACATCTAGCTGCCCTGTAACACTGTGAAACATTTATTTGTTTTCTTATCTGTCTCCTTCTACTAGTATGCAAGACCCTGGAAGGCAAGTCCTGTGTCTTGTTTCTATATTCTTAACACCTCCTTTTGAAACTGCCATTGCAACAATTATAACAGTGAGAAAATTATGACAGTGAAAGAGATCTGATCTAACCAACCCCCATCTTACCTTTAACCTCCAAACTGCCCTTAATAATTCCTGGTTTCAGACCAAGCTAACGTTGGGAGAGACATTTTTTAAGTTTATAGTTTAGATGATAACAGTCCTTCCCCCAAACTAAATCACCTTTGCGAAGCTAATGAAAGGCCACCAGGTTAGGAGGATGTGAGGAGCCTGAATTCTGCTAAGGTGTAGACATAAAAGATTATCAGCCATTATTCCAGAGATCACAAGATTTGCAACTCCCCAGCTACTCCTGCAAATACATCACTATTGTAGAACCTAAGATTGGTCGTTGAGATGTCTTTTCAGGTTTTTGCATTTCTGACGACTGATAGCTCCACCTGGACCTGCTGGGCCCCCCACCCCACCGGTCCTGTGGTCCCACTCAGAAGCAGGCTCCCTGGCCTCTGAATTTTTGGGGAGTTGATTTGGGTAATAACTCCGTCTCCCATACGGCATGGCTGGCCTTGTGTCCATTAAACTCTTTGTTGCAATGCTGTGGTCTCAGTGAACCGGTTTTGTGTGTGCAATGGGCAAGAAGAACCCATTGGGTGGTTATACTTTGACACACAGTGGATGCTATTTGGCACACAATGATTGCTTTAGTGGGGGTGCCCCTGAAGTTACCCCTTTGTCCAGGCACAATAACTATGGATGACTTTTTCATGATCATAGCATCATCCAATTTTCCTGTGGGATGAGGCCCCAGAGGAGAAGGTTTGGAGGTACCATGTTGGGCATGAATCCCCAGCCCTCTCTGTCTCCTCACCTGGTGGTGGCATGGCACGGACCCCCTTGTCTAGCTCCACAGGCTCCCCAACCCCAGCCTCATTCACAGCCCGGATTCGGAAGAAGTATTTTTGCCTCTCGGTGAGTCCTCCCACTGTGTAGCAGGTGCCTGAGATGGGGATCTTTGTGCACTTGGACCACTCCTTTGTGTCTTCAGTCCTCATCTCAAGGATGTAGCCAGAGGGTGGGTCTCCCTCTGCAGGCTCCCGCCAGGCCAGGGAAATGCTGGAGTTGGAGGAATCAGATACATGCAGGTCCTGGACCAGGCCTGGGGGTTCTGGGGTAGAACAGACATGTAGTCAGCGCCCCCCCCAAAACTCATCTCCACTCAATACTCCTGAACCCCATCTTTCACTACTTCTAGCTCCAGATCCCTCAGTTAACACCCTCAGTACCTAACCTTATACACTCAACCTCCAAATTCAAATTCAGTTGTCTTACTGTTTCAACACTTTCATCCTTAAACTCAATACCCCTTAAATTCAACATACCCCACACATTCAAAGCTTCTATATTCAAAACCCCAGCCTTTAACCCAACCATCTCCACCACATCCACTTCCAGGCAGTACCCTCACCTTGCTTCCTAAATGCAACACCCTCCAACCATCTACCTCACACCCTTACTCAACCCTCAGCTTGCCTCTCCTACCTCACCTAACTGGAAATACACGAAATTTAAAAAACGTTTTTGTACCCCACCTCCTCACTGTCCCTGACTCTCAGTCTTTATTTGCTGACTTTCTCTTGCATGTGAATCTTGTCCCTCTATGAGACTGGCAGTTTCCAGAGTGTAGAGACTGTGGTACCGCCTGTCATACTTCCCTAGGGAAGAAATTCTTTCTCTACTTTGAATGGGCTAATTCCATTATGTGTCAGGACCTGGCAGCCCCATACTCACTAACAGGATCCTTGACCACTACTGAGCTGGATGGCACACTGGGCTGTCCAGGGCCTGCCTTATTTACAGCTATAACTCGGAATTCATATTCTGTGTCCTCCAGGAGACCATTCACAGTGCACTTGGTGCCTGAAATGGGAAGATGAGGGGTCGTGAGGCCAGAGGCATCCATGGGGTGAGAACAAGAGTGAGAGACATAGAAGAGGAGGTCATGG